CAGATTGCAGAAATACCAGATTTAACAGATTGCAGAAATACTAGATTTAACAAATTGCAAAAATACCAGATTGCAGAAATACCAAAAATACTAGTTGGATCCGCGAAAGCTGTGTTTGAGATTAAGTTTTGTCCCATGAAATCTGGCTCTGATACCATGTTAAACAATCCAAAGAAAATAAAGAAGAAAAAAAGGAGGAGGCTAGAGTTTCATTGATACTATATTAATTAATTGAATGCTAAAAGATGGTTTAACCTAAATACAAAGAGAATATATATAGGCTAAACAAAGGAAACTAAAAAGGACTATTCTACCCTTAATAAATAATAAATAATCCTATATTTCTTGACATAATCAAATAAAAGAATACAATAGCAAATGCAATATCAAGACAAAATTTACGCGATTCAAGAATATGCCTTTATTCATGGAGATAGATCCCAAAAGACTAGCCAAGTCGAGTGAAAAAAGGTAGATAATCAATCAAGCCCGAGTCTTGGACAACTTATCAATAAGAGTCTATCTCACATATAGAAAGCTCCTATTTACTTGAATTTTAAGTTAAAATCAACAATTAATTTTAGTCATTTATATAATATTTTCAATTTATGCATAATATTGTTTAGTTTCCTTCTAGTGTAGGTTTCCTTGTTTGTTTACTCTTCTTGTAATATATAAACCTAAGCATTCATTAAAAACATAATTCTTTGGTGGCTCAATTATTTTCTTCTTCCTCTTCCTCTTTTGTTCTTCTCGTCTACATGTTTGATTCGCCATGTTTAATTATATGTTGTCATGGTATCAGAGCCTAAATTCGTGCATTGAAATTGTTTCTTTCATCCATTCATTTTCACACCATTTGTGCAATTGAAAAATATAACCTTACAACTAAAAAACATAAACCTGCCCTTGTTTCTTACATAGAACCACCTCCTTTTTTCACTCTAACTCATGGACGCAATCTCAGTTCAGAGATTGGTGACCGTATTTGGGGTCATGGTGACGAGAGAAATATCCTTGACTAACGCGTGTAGCATTGTGCGAGACACTCCGGCGGCGATTAAACCAACACGTCGAAACACACAGTTGGCCTGTGAGAGCGGGTGGAACAATTTTTGCAAAGCTTCAACGAGATGGTGTATTTATACTATATTTACGAGCACTGTGTGATATATTTTCAAGGTAGTTTGTAACCGTGCATTGATTGTTGTGTGAGTCTAGTTATTTGTTATTAATTGTTGTTTATTTGTTGATTTCATAATGGCAATTGAAAGGGATGATATGCTTCGATCCATTAGTGTTAGATTAAATAGTAAAAATTACTCATCTTGGAGTACCGTGATGAGGAACTTTTTAGAGGGAAAAAGATTGTGAAGTTATGTTAAGGGAAGAATTATGTGACAGAGTTAGATAATTGGGTGTTAAAACATTGCGATAATTCTCACTTGGATTCATAATTCTATTAAGCAATCCATTGGTACGCGGTTGGCGAAGTTTGAAACAACAAAGGAAGTTTGGGTTCATTTTTCAGAAGTTATACATCAAGTTTAACTTTGCAAAATGGTATCAATTGGAGATTGATATACGTGCTTTACAAAAGAAGAATATGAGCATTCTCGACGCTGCCATGAATTCAAAGAATTAGCGAGATTGAAAGCATAGGAAGAATATATTACTTTTGGAGAGGAGTAGCCATTAGTTCACTTTTTTATGGCACTTTACAGTCATTTTGAAGGACTTAGAGGCTCTATCTTGCATCGCATTGCACTGCCTTCAATTGATTCAGTGGTTAGTGAACTTGTAGCAGAAGAAACACGTTTGAAATCATTTGCAGGAGAAGTATCTTTTCTTTCATGTAGCACCTTAGTGTTGGTTATACCTTCTCGATCATCCACACAAAATCAAAACAAAATGCAGGTTGCTAGTAATGAGTGTAACTTTTGCAAATAGAAGGGACATTGAAAGTCTCAATGTCGTAAGCTATTGAAGATGCAGTAGCCACAAGTGCAATAACGATCCTATCATACCAATGCTAACATAGTTGCCACCATGCCATCTAGTGACTTATCTATACTTGGATCACCACCTTCCTCCAATCCCATTTTGACTGAATTAGCGAAGCAATTTCAGAAATTCTTAGCTCCATAGCCATGTACTATGTCAGCCTTTAATTATATAGGTTTGTCATCTCAAAGTCACTCAGGTATTTCTTCCTTATGGATATTCGACTTCAGTGTTTCCAAACACATGTCGTCTAACTCAAAATTATTTAATGACTCGTGTCCTTTTAACTCGTCTATATCTATTATGACTGTGATGGCAAACCATTGCCTTTAACAGGTATTGGTTCTGTTAATACATATAATCTATCACTTTCAAATGTCTATTGTATTCCATGAGCGCACAAGCCATATTGAGATTGACGGTCATCTGGTTCGCCATTATATGCAGAATGGCACTATATCCGCTACCTTTTGTTTTTTATGATTGCAGCTTGCGGACTTCTTTACAAAGTTTCATCCAGTTCATCGTTTTCGCTTCTTGCTTAACAAACTCTCTTTGATTCTTACTATAGCATTGTGAGTTAGCGGGAGATGTTAGTCTTATATAACATTTTTAATTTATGCATAATATTATTTAGTTTCCTTCTAGTGTAGGTTTCCTTGTTTCTTTACTCTTCTTGAAATTTATAAACCTAATTATTCATTAAAAACCTAATTTTCGGTGGCTCAATTATTTTCTTCTTGTTCTTCTCCTTTGTATGTGATTATATGTTATCACATAAAACTTTTAATCACATTTATCAAAATCTACTGAAATTCTAAGTTTAATTCCCACCAAACAAGGGCATAACATAATAATCTTAACTAAGGGATAATTATAAACAGTAGATGAGTTAACTACAGTAGTCCTGCTAGAACTAATCACAAGCACGACCCATTGATTATCAGTAATGCCATCGATCATTGAGTGAATTATTCAAATGGTCACTGAACTTTATAAAAGGTTTCCACGGGATCATTGAACTTTAAAAATCATCCAATTTATTATTGAATTTTGCAAAAGATTTTTACGAGATCACTGAACTTTAAAATCACCTAATTTATCACTGAACTTTGCAAAAAGTTTCTCAAGGGTCATAAATTCAGTGGCCCCCGTGAAAACCTTTTGCATAATTCAGTGATGAATTGAGTGATTTTTAAAATTCAATGACCTCATAAAAACTTTTTGCAAAGTTCAATGACCATTTGGATAATTCACTCATCGATCATCAAACTCTACAAAGTGTAATAAATGTTGAAGTTCAGTGACCAACACACGATATTAATTCCTTGAAAGTTCAGTGACAACACACTTTGTTAAATGACACTAAATTATGGTTTTCAATAACTTCAAAGAATCTTAATAATAGTGATATATTTAGTATATTTATTTTAAGTGTTAAAACCATACATTTTACTTAATTAAACGAAAAACAGGACCAGTTTAATTATGTTTTTATGAAATCATGATATATTTATATTGTGCTTACCGCAGTTGGAACCAACTGGTGTTCTCTTTATGGTAGTTCTCCATGGTTAAAACTATGTTCAAAGAGGTAGTTCCATTCATTCTTCTGTACAACTGACCAGAGGATTTAAATAAACTATAATTAATAAAATCCAAGCCCAAAAGCAATGAACAAGTAAATATGCATACTTTTGTTTATGTTCATATGCAAACTTTTTAAATATGTATATATGTTTGGAATAGATTCCATTTTGAGATATCTCACCAAAGCGCCTTCTACTTCTAATAGGCCATGAAAGATCCGCCCGATTTTGATTTGCCATTTATTACTCTCTCAAAAATTTTGACTTCAAATTGTTCATTTGAAAAAATGAAAACCCTCATGGATTTATTGGTGCTGCACTTTTTTACTTGGCACTTCTTATATTTAAAGTAATTTGTGTACCGATGGAATAACTAAGTCATAATTCATTGGTTGAAAAGTTCACATAGTTACAAATAAATTTACTTATATTTAAAATATGTAAGTTTTAAAATAAATAATTCTCTTGATTGATTAAAATACTTCCATTTGGTCCCCATTAAATTTTATTACATTACGTTTCATTTTTCTCTCTTCTATTTATAACCACAATCTTCCATAAAAAATAATATTACACGTAAATCTAAAACTTTTCCTTTTTTTTCAACCACGTATTTTTCAAAAAAACACTATTTTACCCATTTTCATTTCCGAAAATGATGGCCAAACGGGGTAAGTTGTTTGCTGTGACAGTTATTTTTAAAATGTGAATAGCTTTATTACTCTGAAATTGAAAAAAGAATTCACATAAACAAAGTCCAAACATGTTTACAAAAAATATATATATAGAGTTAAATGAAGATGCATCGACTGTTTACATGTTTTAAGGCTCAAGTGTGTTGTAGACCGTTGATCTGTGAGACTTCATCTCAGCCATAAATGGACATATAAATGGGACGCTTCTCTCATTTTCTAGGGTTATTAGAACCCATTCCTTAGAAAGAAATCATGCTTGTGACCTTGGATGAAAAGGATGGCGTTGACTATATAAATTTGTTACGTCTCTCTACACTTTAAGCTTTACGATTGGTTTTTTTTATTATTAATTTTGACACTGGTCACCCATTCAGGCTTGATATAATTATAATTAAGAATGTAGCTTTCTCTTTCTCACAAGTCACATACTTATTTTTGTTGCACGTTGACACTTTACAGAGCTTCCTCTTCAAGACATTTCTCAAGAAAGGCTTAATTAGTAGATCCATGTTTAATCTTCTGTTTCATTTTGGTCTATTTCAAGAACTCTATTCATAAATAATTCAAGATTCTTGTAACATGAAGACACCCAAAAATGATATCTTGTCCAGATATGTGAGTTAATTTGTCAATTAAGTTTATTTATTCGGAAAAGAAGGGGGGAAAAAAAGGAAAAAGTAATTCATATTTTAGTTCCATTATAAGGGTTCAATTATTTCATCCAAATTTAGTTACTGCGGTTATACGCTTGGCTCATCGCATCTCTCAACCGGGTGGAAAGTCTAGAAGTCGGGAATCAGACGGAATTTCAATCAATTCACTCCGTCCAAAATATGGTTGCGTTAAACGATTCAAATTAATGACTGATTTAATTTTTAAACTTAAAAAAAATAGTTTAATGTTATTTTTTATGGTATCTAATCTTACGTGCCAAACACGAAGTTATCTCGTAAAATTCAAACCTGGAGATGGCTCTTGACATGGGAGATCTTCAGTCCTTTGACAGACATCATTTGTAAAATTCGTTTTGGAGTTGCTTCTGTAAAACAAAGAATTCATTTATAATTCTCATTTCTTAGCCTTCGTTTGGCTCCCATTCCATTTCATCAAATTAAATTAAAATTTTCACTTTCCTATTTTCAATCATACAATTTTCAATAAAATAATATTACATGTAAATCGAAAACCTTTTTTTCTTTTACAACCATCCATTTTTATTTTTTTTTAAAAACGCTATTTCCCTCGTTATAATCAAAATTAATGGAGATCAAATGGGGGCTTACTGAGATATCGAAGTTGAAACTTACTGTATTTTCCACCAAGATGTTGAACAGCTTGAACAAAGTGGTGATGAAGCTCAGGCGTCCACCGAAATCGCGGAAGGTCTGATTTTCTGTATTTCCTTACCCTATTTCTATCTGCACTTTCCATTCTCATTTCATAAATAATATATCTGACAAAAATAACGATGTTCCATTGCCCTACAAATATAATAACGCTGGCTACAAAAAATCAATGAAAGTTGGACTTTTATTACTGGCGTGCGGACTTCTGAATTATCTCCTTTGAATGGTATCTAAATTTTGTAATTCAAAACACAAAAGGCAGGTTTGAGGGTTAATTATAAAAGGTTTAAATAAAATAAATAAATAATACTTGTGACCTTACAAAATATAACGATAAAAAGTGAGTTTGACATATTATAAAAGGAGCTCTTCTACACAAACAGGGCTGTGACAGGGGCTGAAGTGGCTCAGCCTCAGCCCTTGATTTGAATTCACTTCAATCCCTGTCAAATTCAGATCAAGGACTAAGGCTAAGCCACACCAGGCCTTGTTCGTTTAGAATTTTTCTTATTGAAGTGCCAAACAAGTACCATGTAATCACTTGTTTGCCACTTTTATAAATTATTTATGAAAGATCAAACTTAATTTTTGGTCACATGATTCAATGGATTCATAATTATTATATACACTTATCTATTATTCATTTCTTTTTATTTATGTATTAAACCCTAACGGAGACTAAGAAATAAAAGTCTAGTGGGTGGACTTTGGAATTAACCTATTCAAACTTCTTCAAACTGTATGTACTTTTATAATTTCAAAACACAAATTTAAGAAAAGAATTTTTTTTTTTTTTTTTATCTTGCTATTTTTATTACATTCGAGTTTCACATTTTCCAACCTTTTTTGGGATTTTTAATTTTTCAAGGGCTATAGCTAATATTTATAGAATTATTTTAGCTGTACAATTGAAGATGATAACCCTGGTTGATAACGTACTCACAGGAAAGGGGATCACAAATTTTTTAATCAACGTGAACCCCCTCCATATGTGTGGTTGTCAATCTCGATTGTACATATAGGGCCTGTTTGGGAGCTATTTTTTTATCCAAAAAATTGATTTTTTGAACGTTATTTTATTATTCCAGCCGTCATATTTGACTTCTTCTCTAACAGGTGGACCCCACTTTTCTTCTAACGGTCAAAAAATTAATTTTCAAAATCACTCTCAAACAGGCTCACAGCATAACTGATATTTATATTTGTAGTAAATAAATTTTTGTGGTAGTTTTCGTCACATTTCATTAGTAACGTACGTCTCTTTGACAGACAAATAGGACCTATTTTATGGTTAATCACGAAAACTGTCCAAGTTGGAGGGCCACTTGCCAAGAAACATGTTGTTTCTTTAATTAAATTGAAGGCCCACTTTAATTTTTCCAGACAAGAAATCGAGAATTTTGGACTTAAGCTTTCTCCCTATGAACCTCTCCTAAGCCAACTTGATGAGACTGACAACTATCAACTTTATGAATTGTGAGTTGTGAGTTGTGACAAAAAAAAAATAAAAAAATCACCCTACTATTAAGAACTAGTACAAGAATCCAATAATTTCTTCATAATTGCATTTTAAAATTTTTAATTTTAATTTAAATTAATAGTTAATTTAGTCACATATTTCGTGAAACACAATTTTTCAACCACATATTTTTTTTTGAAAAATACCATTTGTACAAAAAAATGGTTTACCACCTTCTTGACAGATTTTCACATTTGCGTGGAACCCGAGTGAAAAAAAATGATAAAAAATTGCTCCCCCTCCCCCTCCCCCTATTAGTCTATTCTGTCAGGGAGGGTGTCAAACCCTCCCTGTACAAATAGCAAGGTCCATTTTTTCAACTTTTATTAAAATATACTAAAACTTTGATTTTAATACTTACCAAATATGACTTAATATATAAATATTCAGAAACGTAGTAGTGGAAATATTGGTTCTAGATTTGGTCATAACTTAGAATATTTAGTCCTTACTTGGTTTGAATAAAAATTAAATTTTTAGTACATTTTAATAAATATTGATAAAATGTAGTAGAAAATTTGATAAAAATTATAGGTGTCATTAAAATATGTGATTGAGAAATAAATTTTTAATAGTGGGAGCAAATAGTGACTTAGTTAGTGATCTTTTCAACGGGGTCCATCATTTTCTAGTTTCGATGAGCCTTTAAGCATTTTTTGTAGTACAACCGACAATGTCTTTTCATATTTAGAGCATTTTTGGTTCCAATTAAAATCTAATTTTAATTCAAGTCAAAGTCAAAGTCAAACAATCAATATTAACCACATTTTTCATGGATTCCACAACTTTTCAATCACACATTTCAAAAACTTCTCTCGTAATCTGCTAAAAAAATTAATTTTAATCTCTATCAAATATCCTCTTAGAAAGTAGGTGCTCGAAGAACTGTCCAATATTATGCATTAACATACATAATTGATAATACATATACAGAAAGTATCTTTCCTTCTTGGTACTAATAGAGTCAAAATTTGGTGTCTTCTCGTCCTCGAGGTATTTTTTATATCTCGTGGCATACATAATATTAAAAATGGAAAGACGTCAAAATTAAAAAAAAAAAAGTGTTGATATTATTCCATATATTAAGTGTACGATAAATCTCATGTATTAAAATATAGAAATCATTACAAATTGCATTTTTTGAAAAATACAAGTGATATTAACCTTTTTGTAATTGCAAAATCTCAAAAATTCTCTAATTAATGATTTGAATAGTTGAAGACGATGATCTAAGTGGCTTGAATCCTAGTCTTTGAGAACTTGTTAAAAATTTGATTTGTTGAGACTTGACTTGTTCGGCTTGAACAGCATAACGCCACGATAAGGTGGCACACTCTGAAATCGGCACCATGGGTCTCAAATGAGAAACTTCAATGTACATCTTATATCTTGAAATGACCTCCCTAAGTCTTATGACTCTTATCCAGTCATGATACTGAGCCCGGAAGGAGAAAGGTTATGGAAATGCGCACTCCACAGCATTAAACAAATATGAAGAAATATTAAATAAAAATAAATCCTAAATTTTATTTCATCTATTTGAAAATTGATAGGACGGGGAGAAGTAATTAAGAACTTGTTTGGAAGAGCTTAAAATCTGATTTTAATTTAAGTTGAAGTCGAAAGTCGAACAATCAATATTAACCACATCTTTTATGGGTCCCACAACTTTTCAACCACACATTTCAATAACTTCTATCACAATCTACTAAAAAATCTAATTTTAATCCCTACCAAACATACACTAAGATTGGACAATCATGAGAAACCATAGATTAATTTTGTAATAGCAAGGGCATATTTTATTGTTGAAATTAGAGTCATCACAAAAAGCGTTCGGCCGCAAAGGAAAACTATACTGGCCTATGTAGAAGATCAGGAAATATTTATAGATCTATTGAATTTCTTCTTTCTTGATGGGAAACAGTAGAAGTTCCATGCATTGATAATAGGTCTGTTTATAAGGATAACCATAATGTACTTACCTATGCACAAGTATGTTCAATGCATTGATAACATGTCAAGAAATTGATTTTTTTCAATTCTGTCCTCAACGACACAATTCCATTTCACTACTTTGCCCTTTTTGGAACCCTTCTATATTGGCATGCAAACGCAAGAAATTGGAGGGTAGTTTTGGAATGGTAAAATTGTTGGATTCAAAATTAAGGCCTTGTTTGAGTCATATTATTTCCTTATTAAAATGAAAAATATGATCGTTATCCATAATATCAAGCCACCATATTTGACTTTTTATCTTTTGTGTGAAGCTCATAACGGTTATATTTTTCATTCTCATTTTTACAATAATGTGGTTCAAATGGGGGCGAATTGTAATAGTACCTCATGATTTCGAATTGATATGACGTGTGTTTGACAACTTGGCCACGTTTATTGCACAAAAAATTGGTTTTTGACAAAATAAAGACTATCAAACTTGCCACCTAAACATTAATATGGATCATTTCAAAGAGTCATGCTTGCTGTGCACTTTTACTTACAAGCATGCATGTGAGGGGGTCCCTTGTAAGAATGTACAACACTAAGGGCCGTACATTTAGAAAAATCCAATTTCAAAACGCATGTCGTAACCATTCGTTTGGATAGTCGATTTGCTTTGGTCAACATTCGCAAGTGTTTCAATTTAGCCCCGTTTGTTTTTCTTTTTTTGCCTCATTTTAGTAGCTTTTCGGATCATTACAGCAACCAATTTTTCTGACTTTCAATATGTTTATCTGCGTTTAAATGCTTGTTCGAATTTCATTATAAGTTACTAAAATTATATTGCGACAGAACTGAGTGGTAAATAAATAAATAGTAATTGTGAATCCTACAGAATATTTAATTAAGGAACTTACTATTGACCATGTTTGGGCCCCATTTTAATGTGATTAAGGAGAAAATAATAATGATTTTTTGGATAATATATGATTAAAGTATAAGAAATTTTTTTAAATTTACGTGTAATATTATTTAATGAAAAAAATGTATGACTAAAAATGAATGGAACCCAAACAGGAGCATTATGATTGGGCACAAGGAGATTACACCCTTGTTTGACACTTTTTAAAATTTTAATACATTTCTCTCTCTTCTTTTCGAACGCACATTTTTCAATAAAATAATATTATACGTAAATCAAAAAATCCTTCTTTTTTAATGAAACATTCTCCCAAAAAATACTATTCCATTTCAGGTTATGCTACATGTACATTATGGTATCCATAATACCACAATGTACAAGTGACATAACATTATTGGAAACTTGAAAAACAGTTTTTTAACCCTCTAATTATGGAATTTTACATGTACATTACGGACACCCTTATAGATATTATAATGTACATGTAGAATTATCACTTCCATAATATATTTTACCAAAATTTCTCTTTATAATGGGTCTCAAACAAGGGCTAAAACGAGATGAATAATAAATCCCACGAAATGTATGGATAATAAATAATCAGCAATTGTGAAAATTAAAATTTGACTTTAAATAAAATAATAATAAAATTATGGAGGGATAATAAGTGGATAATAATTATAAGTGTATGGTTAAAATTAAAATTAAGAATGACTTATAATGTTTCAAACATTGGCAATGAAACCCCCAAACAAGCATAACATGTAAGAAAACATGCATGTTTGAGCCTCATTTTGGGAGAAATAATGAATCTTTGAATAATGTATTGATGAGAAATATGATTAAAAAT